AAATAGTTACGTCTTTATTTTGATGTTATGCTTATTTTTATATCACGTTTCACAAATGCATATTTTATGGGACATCCCGAACTGTCCCGGTTTTTCTTGGGTTGTCCCGGTTCCGTTTTAAATGGGACAACATTGGGATAAAGACTTATCACGTACCGTACGGGACTGTTGTTATTAAACCGGGACGGGATCGGGATAAGCCAATTCTCGGACCGTCCCAGACCGTGCCCATCCCTAATGAAAAGTTATCCTACATCAAAACAGTGCCAAACGGTGCAAAATAGTGTCAAACAGTGCCAAACAGTGTCAAAACAGTAAAATTTACCACATGGTAAGTTTATTTCCTTAATATGTGTGTAGGTCAAACCGAGAACATCCCAACGGACGGAGGGATATTTGTTAATTTATTCGACCCAAATTTGGGTAATAATTATAATTATTACATATTTAAAATTAAAATAATTTGTTTAAAAAATGTGATCTCTTAAGTACAGCGACGGTAATAATAATTTATGTGGAGTAGTTATTATTCTATGTTGAACCTTTACACTTAGGAAACCATGAGATTATATTCATAATAATTTTAGTCAATTTCTATAACTAAAATGAAAAAATCATTATTAAAACAACATAATAATTCTATGTTGTTTTTGTTTTTCTTTTTCTTTTCAATAAAAACGATGAAAGTCTTACGAAAAGTTAAAATTGGTACAAATAAATAATCAAATTTCAGTAGTGGCTAAAACCCGGCCAACATTGCTTAATCGTTCTCGTTCGCTCTCTCTGGAGTCGCTGTCTAGGCGGCCTATGGTTTGTCCGGAGACAGCTCTCCGCCGTATCTCCAAGTCTTTATTTGTTAGGTGTCTCTTTAGATTGTTTGGAAGATACTGTCTATTGTCGAAGACGTTGTCCGGGTTCCTCGTTTCTCCGATCGCGGGTTTCGATCACAAAGAAGGTCTAGCCCGTTGAATGCGGTGATGAGACGAACGGCGGCTGTTTCGAGGCGGCTGGATCGAAGGAGCCTTGAGATGCGGCAAGGGGCTGACAGAAGGTTCAAGCAACAAATTTGCATGGAAAGCTTCGGGGAAATGTCTGATGGTGAGGTTGTGGCGAGTGAGCGACGGGCGCGACCCCCTCCTGAGCCGCCGCCATGGAGTGCAAGCAAATCTAGGGTTTTGAAGAAGATTTATTTTATCGGTTTTGTTTGTTCTTTTAGTGATTGTTATGTCTGTCTTGCTATTTGCTTTTCATTTAGCGTTCCTGTTTGTAAGACTGATTTTGGATGTGGGGGATGAGAAGAATTTGGTAACCGTATTAGGCTTTTTGTTTCTTGGTTATGGATCAGCGAATTATATTGCTACGGCGATTAATTCCAAGTCTGGTCCGAGGGATAACGGTTATCAGTTTTCTTTTTGTCTGTTGACCCATACTCTGAACTATTATTGGTTATTAAATCTAAGCCGTCGGAGTTGATCGATAAAAAAAATGAAATATTATGACGTATAGCTTAATTACACCTTAGATGGAAATTTTGGAATCAAAGTCGATAATCTTCTAGTATGTTACGGAGTATATTCCATACAAAGGCATATTTGAATTTAATGAGTGTTGTTTTAAGTTTCAAAACGGTGTATTTACCGTTGTGTAAAAATAGAGATTATTAACGACGGCCTAGTGATCCTAAGAAAAAAAGAATTACCCTAACCGATAGCTGAGGGTCTTTTTCATCGCCGTCCTACGTGCGGCGCGAGGCGAGGGCAGATCAATCGAAGACGGAGGTCGAAATCGTAGCAGCGGCCTTGAGGTGTGATGGAGGACATCGAAGGTGAGGTGTGCAGGAAGGGTCGCGATCAGGAAGTAGCATGCGTTGGTGGGTTCGGCGGGTCGTCGTTCGGCGAGCGGCGTCTTTCGGGACAAGGGGCAGGCCTCGAATCAGGGGTTGAGATGGAAGTCGCTGGTGACGAAGGGAGCAGCGAGCTTCGAGAATTGGAGAAAGATCATGTTGGGGAGATTGTTGCTAAGTATGGAGGCTTGGGAATTGGGGGTGTTGAGGATGAGTTGGTGTTTGAAGACGACGAAGATGGGGACTTGACAGCAGGGGCAACAAGGGCGATGGAATTCCCGGTTGTGGGGAAGATTCTCACGGACAAGACTATCTGATTCCCGTTCTTCCGAGGATTCATGGCTGAGCTATGGCATCCGGGAAAAGGTATTGTTATACAAGAACTTGGAAAACGTAGGTATCTGTTTAAGTTTTTTCATTATGTTGATATGAATCGGGTTCTGGAAAATGGACCCTGGCTGTTTGATCAAAGTTTGTTTGTGCTAAAAGCTGTTAAACCGGGTGATATCCCGTCTAAAATGGTGTTAGATGAATTTGAGATATGGGTACAGGTTCATAATGTGCCGTATGATTTTGAAATTTTGGGTACGGCAAGGAGAATAGGGAACTATCTGGGGGAGTTCATCACATGGGATGAACAAAAGTTTAGCAGTAAAAAAGAGACTTATATGCGTGTGTGAGTTCGTATGAACACTGGTAAAGCCTTAAAGGTTGGAATTACGCTAAGGAAAAGTAAGGGAGAAGGGCACTGGGTAGATTTTAAATATGAAAAGCTGCCAAGCTTCTGTTTTTGTTGTGGTATGATCGCCCATGCAGAGAAATTTTGCCCCTTGCTATACGAAAAGGAGGGACAAGCTATGACCAAACCATTTGGGTCGTGGCTTAGAGCGAGTGGTAGGAACTCGAAATTTGAGTTGGGAAACAAGTGGCTCATAACGGAAGGAAGTTCCTCTGGTGACGATATGCACTCGGCTAAGTTGGTGAAATCAGGGCAGGAGAGGGCCCCGGAGGAGAAGGGGGAGAGCATTAAAGTAGATGTGGGGAAGGGGGCGGTCTCAGGCGAGCTTGAGGAGGGTGGACTGATTGGAGAGCTGAAGAGAAGGCGCACTTGGGAGGACGAGGCGAGGGAGGGGGCTGGTTGGGATGCTATGGCACTGGACTCTCCAAAAAACGGGGATGGGGCGGGCGCTGCTTCCAAGCCCCGCCAGAAGACGTGATGTTGATTACATCTTTTCTAGCTAAAGAATTTTTTTATTCTAGTTATTTTTTTTTTCACGTACTGGATGTTGTTTTTGTTTTGTTGGTGCTGGTTTTTTCCAGATAAAATACTTTGGAAGCTAAAACAGGTACTGATGTGTCGTGTCTACAAGTCATAGGCTCAGGTATGCCCAAAGCGGGATCAGCGAATTATATGGCTTCTACGGAAGTGATTAATTCAGAGTCTGGTCCTTAGGTGGACGGTAGACAGGAGACTTGTCGGCACACACGGTTTCCTGGTTTAGTTCAGTCTGTCTAGTCCTTTTTGGTATGATATATTAAGCCAGTTTTGTTAAAAAAAAATGACGACCTAGTGCCATTAGGCTGACCGCTGACCTCAATGTACGGAGTCAAAAAGTCATATTGGACCTATTCACCCCAATGTGTATTCCAACCCAAAGAAAAAAACGTAGAGAAGGGTCTTATAGTGGCCCAATTACCAAATTGGTAAATAAAAGAAGGGTCATTGGACAAATTGGTAAAAAAAAATCACTTGAGACAAATTGGTAAAAAAAGGCCTAGTGACAAATTGGACAATTTTTTGTGAGGGATAAACTTTTGATCCCCGACTTTAAAATTCTCGACCTTTCATATTCTAAGTACTATGAAATTGATATTTTCGATCCTTTTACTTTGATTTGGTCGTTAAAAGCGAAAGTCTAAAAATGTCAACGATCGTGTTTGATAATAACATTTGTTTGGTAGCTAATAGCCGGTTGAATCAGCATATTAATAATGGCGGATTCTGTTAGCCTTTTTAACTAACCGCTTTCATTAATAATGGCGGATTCTGTTAGCTTTTTTAACTAACTGCTTTCATTAGCATATCAACATTTGTTCAGCATATATTAATAATGGCGGATTCTGTTAGCTTTTTTAACTAACCGCTTTCATTAGCGTTTTGAAATAAAATATTAGTAAATTAATTGTTGGCTATTGAATGTTAAGACGTAAAATGAAAATTAAAGATAAGAATTTAAAAGTATATATTTTATCTTAGCTTTATTTATTTTATTTTTAAAAAGTGAAACGGTTTTAAAAATTATATTACATTTATTTAAAATAAATGGAATAATTTTTTTTGAAAAATAAAACCAATACATAGTCATATGGAGTAGAATTCCGGGGTAGATTTTTTAAATGGAGTAGACTTTAAAAAACTAATAAATAGTCTTATTAAATATATTATTACTAAATATATATGAATTTATATGTGTGTGCTCGTATTAATGTACATATCTTAAAAGTGATACTGTTAGTAATTATTTTAAAACAAACGTAAACATACTTTTAAAAACTTTTTCCAAAACTTTTTTCAAATAAAAAGAAATAAAATTAATTTAAATATTTAAAATTTTAAATTCATTTTTTAATGGTCATTTTACGTCTGAAAAACTAATTGTAAATTTTAAGTTACTAACATTTTGTTTCAAACCGTTAATGAAAGCGATTAGTTAAAAAAGTTAATGGATCCGCTAATATCAATCTATTGATTCAACTAGTTATGAGCTAGCAGACAAATAATATTATCAAACACGGTTGTTGAGGTTTATTCCCGAATATCCGAAAGCCCAACACAAGCCTTGGATATTGTAGGGATATTGGGTAGGGTTGAAATGTGTATAAAATATAAAATAGTGAATTAATATTCAACTCGAGAACTTACTTATATTCACTACTAGAATTTTTATCATTTGCTGCTCCCTTTTTGCTGCGGTTGTTGGTGTACCCGCAGCAAAATGTTAAAATTTTGAACTAATTGCGGCGGTTACAAAAGAACCGCAGCAATATCTTAAATTTTTTTGGAGTATTAGCTGCGGTCACTACGGAACCGCAGCATTATCTAAAAAAAAATTGAATTATTTTTTTGGGATCTTTAATCACCGCAGCAAAATAATACCTAAAATAACCAGCCTCCATCGATCAGATCCGTAGCCTCCAAAAAAACCCCTCCACATCTGTTCGCACTTCTACACCCATCGTCCAAAAAAAACCCTCCAATACTCCATCGATCGTCCGCCCTTCCCAGCTGCAGCCTCCGAACGCCGACCCTCCCAGCCCCAGCTGCAGTCGTCGCACGCCCTCCCTCCTAGCCGCAGACGTCGCACGCGGCTCCTCCCAGATGTAGCCGCTGAACGCTGCTACAACTCCGCCCAACGCCGCTACAACTCCGCCCAACTCCGCCCAACTCCGCGCATCTCCTCCAGTAGCGGCTGAACGCCGCCCAACTCCGCTCCCTTCTAGTACACCTTTGCCGACTCAGTGGCTGAATAGAGGTTTATTTTCCAACCTTTTATTTTACATTTTATTTAATTTATTGAATTTTGTCAAATTTGTTGTACATTATCAGCATTTGTATTTATTGATAGAATTAGTATTGTGTTTAGATGATGGATAAATTGAATTAGTATTCATTAATGTTTGGATGAAATTAATGAGACTGTGAAGAAAATAGGGACCCGATGTCTATTTTTGTTGCTGAAGTAACTTCAATGTCAGTTAGCCTTTGTAAAGTTCAGCTAGTATTGAATAGACAATTCAGGTAGCCTTTGTAAAGATGAGCTAGTGTTAGATACTTGACAAGTAGAGGAGTAAACCACAAACAAAGGGATTATTTATCACATATAAAACTATTAGCTATATATGGTTCTTGCTAACCAACTTGTTTAGGACACTGGTGATCTAAGAGAGTATGTTTGAATTGAAAAGCATGCAGCGCAGAGTGCATCTTTATTGCATGTTTCACCAATTTGTTTGGCATTTTAATAAAAGAAAGGCACACTTTTGATTTATTTGACTGGACACTGGTTAGCATTTATTGTTTTGATAAAAGGCGAATTGAGAAGTGTTTAGGGCAGATTTAAATGTGTCCTCTCATAGTCTGGAGACCAGCCACGAACTGTGTATAGTAATAGTGGTAGGCTCTTTAATTTATTTCGCTGAATGAGGAGTGATGACTAATGCAGCAAAACAAAGTATACTTGAATTGAGAGTGAATGTTCTTAAGAGTGAATTACCTAAATTAATGAGACTCAAGAAAATAGGGATATTTTTGTTGCTGAAATAACTTGAATGTCTACGGAGTATGGAGCTCAAGTAATGAAGAATCTACTACCTATTTAACTCAAATGCCTTTTTTGCTGAATCAGTGAATATAAGTTACTGCATTGACTTTGTGGGAGGGGGGGATTTCGTTTCACGTTATGTAAGGCTATCTTGGAAATGTTAGGAAGATTATGTCATGTTATATGATTTGAGTTATAAGATTTGCAGCAAAAAGTTCAAACTTTACTGGGTTCTCATACTGTTGCCATACAGAATAGAGTGCAATTATAGTATATATGTAATACAATATTCTCTCCTAAGCTTTCTTTTCCATAATCTAATCTAACTAATTTAATCTCAAACAAGTTGTGGACTTTGAGGAAATTATTACTTTAATTGGGTTTTCAGGGAACTGTAGATTAGTACTTTGAATAGAGTGTAGTTATATGTTCTATACTATCAAAAGTTTCTTACCCATATTATTCATTGTTCTTCAAAAGTGATGTGTAATTATATGTCACTAAGCACCATAGTGTTCCTTTCTTTGAAAATAACTTAAGTTGTTTTTTAATCTCTATTTCTTTCTTAAAATGATCTATTAATTTCCCTAAATCATATTTAGGAGTAACTATTATCATACTTAAAATTAAGATATTATAAATGATAGGACCAAAGAAATAAGATAGCCTAAAACTGAGATAAGAGAGAGTTAGTCAATTAGTTAGCCTAATTTATTTGGTTATAAAATCTAACTAATTATATGTCACTAAGCACCATAGTGTTCCTTTCTTTGAAAATAACTTAAGTTGTTTTTTAATCTCTATTTCTTTCTTAAAATGATCTATTAATTTCCCTAAATCATATTTAGGAGTAACTATTATCATACTTAAAATTAAGATATTATAAATGATAGGACCAAAGAAATAAAATAGCCTAAAACTGAGATAAGAGAGAGTTAGTCAATTAGTTAGCCTAATTTATTTGGTTATAAAATCTAACTAATTATATGTCACTAAGCACCATAGTGTTCCTTTCTTTGAAAATAACTTAAGTTGTTTTTTAATCTCTATTTCTTTCTTAAAATGATCTATTAATTTCCCTAAATCATATTTAGGAGTAACTATTATCATACTTAAAATTAAGATATTATAAATGATAGGACCAAAGAAATAAAATAGCCTAAAACTGAGATAAGAGAGAGTTAGTCAATTAGTTAGCCTAATTTATTTGGTTATAAAATCTAACTAATTATATGTCACTAAGCACCATAGTGTTCCTTTCTTTGAAAATAACTTAAGTTGTTTTTTAATCTCTATTTCTTTCTTAAAATGATCTATTAATTTCCCTAAATCATATTTAGGAGTAACTATTATCATACTTAAAATTAAGATATTATAAATGATAGGACCAAAGAAATAAAATAGCCTAAAACTGAGATAAGAGAGAGTTAGTCAATTAGTTAGCCTAATTTATTTGGTTATAAAATCTAACTAATGTGACTTACTTTTTTTTCTGTAAAGATGAATCGAAGCTGGATGTACGGTAAACGGAACACATTGGAATTTATGAATGGGGTAGCTGAGTTTTGCAAATGTTGTTTAGAATACAGAGCGTTGACTGGTTATGATGAGTTATATTGTCCTTGTGTTGATTGTGCCAACATATATTCATTCCGGTCAATAGAGACAATCAGAGAACATTTAATTCGCCGTGGATTTAGGCAAGAATACTATGTATGGGTGTGGCATGGCGAGAAAGGAGGGTATACAGAAGATCAAACCAAAGTCAATGAGATGACCAATATCACAATCGAGAATCTTTCTGATGCGGAGGGTGAGAATAATGAGGAGACTGAAAGTGAAAGTGAAGGTGAAGGTAACGATGAAGATGATATTGAAGATAATGATGAGAGTGACAACGTAGATCAAATCAATGAGATGATGGGTGAAGTGAAAGATCACTTTAGTGGACGACCACGTATATTTGAAAGTTTGTCACAAGCAGCAGAAAAACCATTATATCACGGGTGTACAAAATACACAAAGCTATCTGCCGTGATAACACTTTATAATGTGAAAGCCAAGAACAATTGGAGCGACACAAGTTTCACATCCTTACTGGAAGTATTACATGACATGCTTCCTGATGGAAATGAAATGCCAAAGTCAAATTATTATGCGAAGAAGCTCATGTGCCCGTTGGGTTTAGAGTACAAAAAGTTTGATGCATGTCCCAATGATTGTGTCTTGTACCGAAATGAATATTGCATGTTGAACAAATGTCCACGTTGTGGTAAGTCACGGTACAAGCGCAATGATGTCGACTCAAATAGTGATAAGAAAGGTCCACCGGCAAAGGTGTTGTGGTATCTTCCCATAATTCCGAGGTTGAAACGCCTATTTTCGATAAAGGCAAATGCAAAATATTTGAGATGGCATGGAGAGCAGCGAAAGAAAGATGGGATGTTGAGACATCCTGCCGATTCTCCCCAATGGAAGACTATTGATGAATCATTTCCAGATTTCGGTAAAGAAGTGCGGAATCTAAGATTAGCTCTATGCACTGATGGAATGAATCCATATGGGAGCTTTAGTAGTCAACATACTACATGGCCGGTTCTTTTGGTTATATATAACCTGCCACCATGGTTGTGCATGAAGCGCAAATATATGATGTTGTCGCTTCTAATATCTGGACCTAAACAACCCGGGAATGACATTGATGTCTATCTTGCCCCTCTCATTGATGATTTGAAGACGTTGTGGGATGAAGGTGTTTCAGTGTTTGATGCACATACTCAGGAGTACTTCAAATTGCGTGCCATGCTGTTTTGTACTATAAATGATTTTCCAGCATATGGTGACTTATCTGGGTATAAAGTGAAAGGAAAGCAACCATGTCCGATTTGTGTTGATGATATGGACTCCACATATCTACCTCATTGGGGGAAGTATGTTTATATGAAGACTCGAAGGTTTCTTCCTTGATATTTCGGAACTATGTTGTTTATAACGTTGAGTGTTTTCATAATAGTGTTTTTAGAAATATTTGTGGTGGTGGACAAGTGAAAAAGATAACTTGGAAACAGATGAAGGTATTAGTATATACATTCTCTAACTAATTTTTTTACTAATATTATTTAATTTATTTAACTTGATAGCGAATGTATTAATTAAAACAAATATGTTATGTGTACAATTTGACATCACAGTGCGCAAAACAAACGGGTGGTTTGGAATGTGGATTTTATATAATGAGATTCATGTTTGATGTTGTTAAAAGTATCGCTGAAGGTCACGATCTGGATCAGGTTATTTCAATACTTATTCATGACATATGCTAATTACTTTTGCTTGAAGTTAAGTTATTTTTTAATTGGTTAATGAAATAGTAATCATTTAAAAGGTTACAAATGTTACAATGTAAATATTATGAAATTATATTGCAAATCCTAACTTTAATAATTAATATTGCTTATCAGGTGTACACGAGCAACGTAAGAGATGATGCGCTGTCAATGGCAGAAATCGGTGAAATCCGTGATATGTGGGCTATATTTGTTTCTGACAATTTCTTGTAAACTCTTGTATGAATCATGTATGTTAACAATATACTCCGTACATTTTTGTTGCTTCAGATGTTATTGACATTGTAATGTGCTTTTTTGGTGGTCTAAAACTTGTATTGTAATGATTGAGAACTTGGATGGTTAGAAATACAGGTTTCTTGGTGATCTAAAATTTGTTATTGTGAATTTAGAGCAAATAATTATTAAATAGGGCACATATATTTTAAATATGTAAAGTATTTGCTGCGGGTGTAAGGAACCGCAGCAAAAAGTAATATGTAAAAATTCAACGGCTTTTTTGCTGCGGTCGTAAGGGAACCGCAGCAATAAGTACTTTTAAAAAAAAAACGTTCCCTTATTTGCTGCGGTTGTAACCGCAGCAAATACCTGTTTTTACATTTTGCTGCCCCTGCAATTGCTGCGGTTCAAACCCGCAGCAATTAAGTAAAAACAACCGCAGCAATTAAGCTTTTTTCTAGTAGTGATTCTGTAATTAAGCAATTACACTGAAACTACCCGAACGGTAGATGAATATGAGATTACAAGGATAGGAGATGTAAATCTATTGCTAAGCTCTGAGTATTAAAATGCTAACCCTTTACAATGATCTAAACATGGATATTTATACTAAGATGGGGATGGGTAAGGTGGACACGTGGTCGAATCTGGTAGGCTATCACCTCTGCCATGTAAGCACTCATGCCCCCACTTGCAGCTGTCATGATCCAGCATTAAATGCGGCCTCCACTTGCTGACTGCCCGTTCGGGCAAGGTGTTCGGTGTGTGGGACCCCGCCATAGGTGATAATTTCTACCTGAAGTATCCCGAACGCCGATCGATATTTGGGTCGTGATACCTTGGCATAATCGTTACCCAGAATGTTCCAAGTATAAGTTTTATCCCGAATGCCGTTCGGGAGTTCTTTGGGCTTGCTGCTTCTTCCCGGATTTGGGCCTAGGGATATTGGGCCTGGACCCAATATCCCAACACTAGTCCCCCACTTCCTATGTCTCGAACGGTAGTGAGCGCATAAGGAAGTAGAAGATTATTGCCCGAATGCTGTTCGGGTGAGTATCGGATGGCATCCCGCCGGTTCCCGAGGCATATTTTGACGGTTATTTGCAACTGCCGTTTCACTTCTCCGATAAACGTCATGATTACTTGAGGAGGATTCTCTGTGCGACAAGTGTCTCTGTCATCATTACAAAAAACGTGTCCTCTTCTGATTGGCAGCTGAATCGGCGTGACAGAGTATAAATAGGCTCTTCTGGTTTTGATTCTGGGTTTCGAAACTTTGCATCTCCGGCTTATAATTCATCCTTCTCTCTAGAGCTTCATCCGCAGCTTCTGTTCAGATATCCTTCGAGTTCCCTTCTACTGTTTAGTTCCCTCGTTCGGTGAGAATGGCACCCCTTCGTTCATCTGAACCCTCTACCTCCGGTACTGCAATTCCAGAAGAAAACCCCAGCGATATGCTGCAAGTTGTCCCTATTCCGGCGGAGGTTAACGGCAATGATTCCTCTTCCTCCTCCGATGTTTACCCTGACGGCACCAAATCGGGAGATGAATTGGAAGTCATGGAAGCCGGTCCTCCAAGCGGCGTTTCCTGTCATAAGCTTGACCTAGCTCTTATTAGGCTTATGCGCCAAAAGCTCACGGCCCAGAATCGGGCCCAAATTCAGATGTTAATTCCTGATTCGGTGGACTTCCGTCTTCAATCGGGTCTTCACCCAATGCGCCACTTCCCAGGGATGGTTGTGGTCCATTTCGACTCAGTCAAGGCCGGTCTTAGATTCCCACTTCACCCCTTTTTTGTCTCTCTTTTAAATTTTTACAATGTAGTACCGGCCCAAATAATGCCGAACTCCTACCGGTCGATAGCTGGTTTTATTTGTCGTTGTCACAACGTCAAGGTCACACCCACTCTAGAGCTTTTCCACTATTTCTTTTCGGTTATCCCCCAGCAGTCCCACGGCTTTCTGGTGGTAAGCTCCCGATCAGGACATATTTTGTTCTGCGATGCCCCTTCTTCCATTAAGGGTTGGAAAGATAGGTTTTTCTTTGTCTCTGTCCCGAACGGTTTGATTCCGAGGAAGTGGAACGCATTTCCTCCTAAATCCCCCGAGCCATTCATCTCCGAGGAGCTTAGCCAAGATGTCATTGCTGTGGAGGCAGGAGGCTGCTTCAAAATCATGTCTTACCTGACTCCCGAACGGCTAATTAAGGCCGGGATAGGTACTGCCCGTATTCCTGGACTTACTTGACTGAAAACCAAGTACCATGGCCCGGGCGGTCCTTCCCGTGTGATAGTACTTTTTAATCCACGTGTGAACCGCTCGGTACTAATTTGTTTCTTTGTTATCTTTTCAGCTCTAAAGCAAGGCGAATCTTCAGACTCCGAAGGAGCCAGTCCCGAACAACCGGCCATGGATGATAGTAGGCTGTTCACTGCTGGACTTGATGACGAGCCACCAACCTCTCCTCCCAAGCAGCAGAGGAAGACAAAGAGAAAGAGGTTGAGGAAGGCCGATCAGGGCGCCTCCTCTCAATCCGCCCTTCACGTCCCCGAGCAGTCCGAACCTGTTCGGGATGTAGAACATGTGCAGCAGGTTGCCCCTGAGCAGCAAACTCACGCTGACACGTTGATGGATCAGCTTTTCTCTGATCAGCAGTCTCACCATTTCTCTGCTGAGGAGGTGGCTGCCCATCAGGCTGACTTGGCTAGTCAGTTCGAGCGGATCTCCCTCTATGATCCTGCTCATGAAATGCTGGAGAGGGGTGGCTGTCCAGCGAGCCAGATCTGGTCCACATCTGGTTTCCTTAATGGACACAACCTCCCCCCAATACCGGTCGAGGAGGTCGAGGAGTGCATTGCCCTGACTGTCCTGAAGGTAGCTTCTTGTCTTATGTTCATAATTTACTTTTACCTTTGTTTTGATAGCTTGTCATGTGCTCATACTTTTCTTTTCGATCAATAGGCAGGGATATACAGCCTGAAGCTCAAGGAGACCAGGCAGGCCAAGGAACAAGGCCTGCTGATGGCCAAGGAAATGGCCGAACAGGCAGCGGAGGCCGAACGGCGGGCTTTCTCTGAGGAGCGGAAGAAGCTAGAAGCCGAGGCAGGGGAGCTCCGTGTTAAACTGGGCGCTCTCCAAGCCAAGATTGCAGCAGCTGAGGCTGCTCAGATCAAATTCTCTGAGGCTCCTCCTCAGATCCCGGACGGACCGGCCGAAATGACAGTTGATCTTTCCGCCGTTCGGGATTCCTTCAAGACTTCGGAGGAGTTTCTGGCTCTAAAGGAGAAGTACGCCACCGAACAGCTCCCCGCTGTCTTCGGGAGGCATCTGGAGAAACTGGCCGGAGAAGAGCGCCAGAAGGAGGGGGTCAGGGTGCTTGATCAGCATCCTGTCACCAAGGAGTGGGCTGATAACCTTGCCCGAGGGATCTACAGTTCAGGCTGCCAACATATGCTCCAGCCTCTCCTCCCCCTCCTGGAAAGATATATGGGCTGAGCGGTGCAAACTTCTGACTTTCCCTCCGACCTTCATCCGGGTCATCTGAACGCCCTGATGGCACAGATGAAAAAGTGCCGGCGAGCCCTGGGGATGGAGGTCGTGCAGATTGTAGATGAAGAGGCTGATGAAGATGATGATGAAGACGATAAAGATCATCCCGAACAATAGATTAGACATTCTCTTTATCTGTATTTCCTTTCCTTTGAATCAGTATTTTTTGTCCTTTCCGGCCAGTAGAGCCGATGAATATACAACTTTTGCTTGCTCATTTCGTCTTTGTGACTTTTACTGTACTTTATATTTTTTTTTCACCTATCAATTCGCCTCCGCAATACGTTTCATGTTGCTTTGTTCGGGTGATCTCCATAATCTGAAGCGATCAGGTCACCTGTTCGGGTGAACTCCTTGTTAAATCCAGAATTCAGGACTTGATAATCTTGTTAACACATGTTGTTTATAATGAACCCGTTCAGTCTGTACTTATGATCTTAATATAAGACCCTTGTGCCCTTTTCATTCGTTCGTAAGCTTTCATTCTAGTTGGAAATTGTGTCCGGTATTCGGGATGTATTTTTGCTCTCTTTGTTGCATCTGTCATATTCTTCCATGTTAGATAACCATACTGTTCGGGTACGCCCATCATTCTTACCACCGTTATAAATTTCCTTCCTGTTCGGGGAAACGCTTGTAGCCCTTTTCTTCTATCCCGTCCGGGGAGACGCCTTTAGAGGTTCGTGAACTTTGCTGATTTCAACCCCGTTCGGGTGTTCACCCACCCCAAAGGATGCTTTAACTTCTCTCAACCGCCTTGACACGTGTCTATTATTCATTCGAATTCCTGGCGGTTGTATTTCCTTATATAAGGATGCAGCTACTTTGTTTCAGTTTTTTCTGCTGCTTCTGAATTCTTTCAAGCTTTCTCTCTCTAGAATTTTCTCCGTTATTCTATGTCTGCCTTTTCTGGTTCGTCAGACTCCGAAGATATGGCACCCACTTTGATTCGCCTTTCAAGGGGAAAAGCTCACCCCAAAGATCAAGGTACATCTACCCGATCGTCGGGTTCTAACGGGTCTTCTGCCTCACTTCATCCCGAACAGCCCCTCCCTGATGATGGATGTCAGTCGGGAGATGACCTAGCCATCTATAATAAGGGCATGCCTGAACGCCCCCCCCGTTATAGTCTGAACTTTCATTGCATCAGGAAGCAACGTCAACGCCTTCCTGCTGATGCAGAACAGACGCTCCGCCAATTACTACCTCCACCTCGTCAGTTCAATGCGGGGTTCATCAAACATCCCATGCGACACCGTCCGGGATGTGTGTTGGTGCACATGGATGCCTTGGTTGCTGGTTTGCGGTTCCCTTTGCACCCGTTCGTTGTGGAGTTCCTTCACCGGGTATCAGTACTGCAGGCACAGTTCGTGCCCAGCACCTACAAGATCCTGAACGGCTTTATTGTCTGGTGCCATGAGTTGGGGATTGCCCCTAGCGCCGATCTCTTTTTGCATTGCTACGGCGTTCAGCCCTACTGGACCACCGGGTACTTGCGGCTTGTGGCCCGTCCTGGCCGTTCGCTCTTCACCGACAACCCCACACCTCCGGAAAAATGGGAGGAAAGATTTGTGTTCGTATACGTGGGGTCGCCGCTTCCTTTCCCTGATCGGTGGAACACCTACCCCGTTCAGGATGCCTCCCCAAGGGTGGATGCAGCTATTCTCTGCCAGTACGAAAGGCTCCGTCTGGCCGGTTCCAAGAACTTACGGTCTTTTTTGACTCCTGCTAAGATGCTAGCTGCTGGCATCGGTATGTTTCTTCCCTTACTTTGTTCGTTCGGTACATTTTCAATCTCTTGTTCATTTTCCTTCGTTCTTTCCTGTAGGTGTGATTCCCCCCGTTCCCATAAAGCGTCCTGCTCCTACTCCTTCCTCCACCGCCATAGTCAGCAAGGGAAGGGAGAAGGCTATTCAGCCAGGTTCTTTTGCTGCCCGGGAATCTGGGCCTGTTAGCAAGCGGCCAAGAATTGAGAGCAGCAGCGCATTGGTCCCGATCGATCAGGTCATTGATCTGACGGACCCTTCTGTGGAAAGGATGCCTCCGGTCCCCTCCCCTTCAACGAAGCTGGGCAACAGGGGAGGTGTTGCTTCAGATAGTCTCCTGATCCCTGATCGGTTGACGGTGGAGTTTTCTGCCATGGGCCCCCGAGCCGAATGCCGGACGCTGTTCGGGCAGACTGCATCATCCGTGTGGTGCAGTACCTCTCTGAAGGCTGGTGAGGGTTTCACCAACCTGACTCACTGGTCCGACCTATTTGAAGCAGGCCACGCTGAGTCCCTTAAGGTATGCCTTTGACTGTTCAGTTCTTCCTTCTCATAACATTTTTTGGACTTGTTCTTACTGCTGTTTCTTTTTCCACAGGCCGGTACATACTATCACCGGGCCTTCCTAGCAGCTGAACGGGAGATGACCCTCCTTCATCAGGAGCTGGACGAGAGCCAAACCCTTTTGGCTGCTGCTAGGAAGATGGCTGCAGATCTCCAAGATCGAGCCAACAAGGGTGACAAAGCCAGGGAGGAGCTGGCCGAACTGGAGCAGAGGCTCCAACGACGCGATCGGGAAATCCGTGATCTGCGTGCCAAGGTAAAGGTTGCCGAAGCCGCTGGCCTGAAAATTGAGAAGGCCAAGGGGGATAATCCCCCTGCCCCCTATACCGCCGATGTTTCCAAAATCACCACGAAGGCGGTGATTGACTTCCAAAGGGGGAAAGGCCTGAACCTCGCCCTAGAAAATACTGCTCGGGAGTTCCTCGGCAAGCATCTGGGCGAATTCCTAGAGAGGAGCAAGGACCCATTACACGATGGCCTCAAGCTTCTGGATGAAACCCCGTCCGGGACTGCATTTGCTAATGCTCTGGCGAGGGACACCCTTGTCAAGTGCCAGGATATGCTGGTCGACCGGAATCTGGAGGTGATTAAGGAATCTTTTGATGAACCCTTTGACCCCAAGGAGGAAGGCTTTGATCCGTTATTCTGCCGTGCTTATCAACGGGTGATGGAGAAGAGGCAAAAGGCTAAAGATTCAGCCAACCCCCCAAACTCCGATGCTGTGCCGAATAAGGATCCTCCGTAGCTTAGCTCTCTTTATTGTAATCCCCTTTTCTTTTTCTCATGTATTATTCCCGGCCAGTAGTGCCGAAGAATAAAGATTGATCTGTTTCCGAATGACTGGCTTCCCGAACACTTCTCTTATTTTTTTTTTTCACTACAAGTCAGCATCATGATTGAGATGTAAGCTGTTCGGCCCGTCCCTAACACCAAAGTTGAGGTGCAAGCTGTTCGATTGATTTCCGTCGGTTGTTCTTTGTTTCCTGAATGCGCAAGACATAATGTTTAACGCCTGCTGTGCCCCCAAGCACCATGTTTCAGATGCATGCCGTCCGGTTTATTACCGTCGACTGGTTGTTCCCTGAACGCGCAAGTCATCAATGTTAAATGCTTGCTGCGCCCCCGAGCATCATGTTTCAGATGCATGCCGTCCGGTTTATTACCGTCGACTGGTTGTTCCCTGAAGGCTAAAGTAACCTGTTCGGGTTATCATCCGCGTTTTTCCTTATCCGCAAGGCAATCACCTCTTGCTGCAAGGCAGTTTCACAATTCGTGTAGTGTCTGCCATCTTCCAAGCCCATAATTTCGATGCATACCGTCGGTTTTACCGTCCGGGGTCATCCATATCATGAGGTTGAGATGTCCATCCTGGACCGTTGAGAATAAGGCTCCCAATTCGGGTCTCCCCCTTATTCTCTGCCAAAATGGAGACTCGCCTCCAGGATACAGCTCGGGTTCCACTACCATAAGGTTCGGGCGAGCTGTATGGCCAAGGCAAGATTTTAAGACCAGAGTCCCGATCCCCCGCTCGGTCACCCTATGACTTCGGATGCCGCCCGGTTCGTCCTACTCAAGATCTTTTACACCATCTCCCAAGCTGAGTCCGGGCTTGGTTATCCTGCACATTGTATTATTATTATTTTTTTTTTTTTTTTTTGTGCTGAGATGATGGCTCCCCATGGATCAAGATGAATGACATCTATAGATCAATGTGAGACTTTTGGCCGATTAAGGTTGTGGTGATGCCGTTCGGCTTGTTGATGCCGTTCGGCTCGCAATATTTCTCTTAACTCTGGCCTCTTTGGAAGCATTGTTCTCCCTCTCCCCTTTTTTTTTTTCAGAGGTGGCAACAGCCGTTTTTATTGATAAAATTTCCGCAAGTGCGTAGCGTTCCATATCCCTGCCGGACAGCCTTCGGTATCCTGTAGGGAAAAGGTCCCCATCCGGTATTTTTTCCAGACCCGGTATGGTCCCTCCCAATTCTTTGACATCTTCCCGCCCTCTAGCGGTTTGCTTTTCTCTCTATTCCTCAGGACAAGGTCTCCGACTTCAATCGAACGGATTTTAGCCTGTTTATCCACATACCTCTTAATCGCCCGGTGATATTCTTCCATTCGTAAAGCTGAGAGATCCCTTCTTTCCTCTATGAAGTGGAGTTCAGCACGCAGATTGTCCTCATTCTGCTCAGGATCATAGTGGATGGTTCTGTGAGTGGGCACCAAGACCTCAGTTGGGACCTTAGCCTGAAATCCATAAGCGAGGGCGAACGGTGTCTCCCCGGTTGCTGTTCGGGGAGTTGTCCTGTATGTCCACAAGACGTAGTTTAACTGCTCGGGCCAGGTTGACGTGTAATCTTCGAGTTTCTTTTTTATACCATCCATGATGGTTCTGTTCATGTTCTCTACCTGCCCGTTCGCCTGTGGATATGCTACGGAAGCTCTTGAATGCCTGATTCCCCATCTGGTGAGGAATTCCTCGAAGTTCTTGCTCACAAATTGCCGTCCATTATCCGTGATGACCTGCTCAGGCAGCCCGAATCTGCATATAATATTTTGCCAAACAAAATGTTGACATTGAAAATCCGTGATACTGGCCAGGGGTTCGGCTTCCACCCATTTGGTGAAGTAATCAATCCCCACTATGATGTACTTCCTTGCTCCGGACGCATTAGGTAGGGGCCCTAGCAAGTCAATCCCCCACCTAGCGAATGGTAACGATATGGTCATCGGGGTGTAAAAAGTTGCAGGCCGCCCGGGGTACTGGTGCGTAAAGCTGGCA